CACATTTAAGAAATTTTTTTTTTTTAAATTAATCGGCTAGTTTACGTTGTACTGTGCCTTTAGGCACGGATTATTTCTAATATACTACTAAGACACGATTAATACATATGCTAGCACTAGGGAGCGTACCTCAAATAATAACAGTGAGTTTGGTATGCAATAATAGAATCAAGTAAGTATGAAACGAAAATTGAAATAGAATGTGCATCACCGTTCTAATTTTTGATAACTATTTAGGATTTTCAACGTTTGAATAAAATAATTTTTTATTGGATAGAATAAAATCTGAATAAAATATGTCTTAAGGCATGAAATTAATTGTAAGCTTCTTCTTTTTTTGTGAAATAACTTTTTTAGGGTATAAGATTCCTAACTTTAATTCGAATAAACACCTGGTAATTTTAACAAGATAAAATGTACAACTAATAAACTTCTCAATAATTACAAACCCATCAAATTAATCGAAAAATATAACATTAGCGTCAATGGTAGACAACAACAAATAATAATAGCACAAATACATAAATTTAATTATCATACATAATTAAAAAAATACATAATAGTTTTTTACTATTGCGCTTCCTTATGACTCTTCACGTAAAAAAATACATTGTTTAAAAATAAGAACTTTTCGCAGTCCCAAAAGATTTTAAATTCTTTACTTTGCACCTCTCAAAATTAATTTTTTATATAACTTTTAATGTATTAAAAATATTAAAATATGGCCCTTCCATTATCTTTTTCGTCAAAAACTAATAAAAAAAATTAACAGAAAACTAATAGAAATATCACATTACAACATTTTTGGTTCATTGAGTTAATCTTTAAGGGTGCAAAAGTAAAAAACTTGAAATTTTTCAAGATATAAAATGCAATTCGCCCTAAAAATAAACATGATCACATTAAACCTGTACCTATATGGTGCATAAGAAATCAACCAAAAAAGCAAAAAATTCTAAAAAATAGCAAAACTAGTCTACACAATCTAATGAGGCACAAAATTGGATTTATGACTACCAGTCGAGTAATTAATATAGGTAATAAATGCAATAAATATAAAGTTAAGATCAACACAGAAACACACAAATAAAAAGTGGTTCGGTCAGTGTGATCTACTCCAATTTGAAGGTGGTAACGATGGTTGGAGGACTTTATTGATAAAATAGTAGGTGGTAAAGAAAGGGGGCAGAAGTAAGCTCTAAGTGTGGAGATGTAGCTATGAGAGATGTGGTTGTGAAAAAGATGTGTAGAGATATACCTCTCTCATGTGAAGAGAATTTACAATTTACAGATACAAAGCCTTGAGACGGTGGTGTGAAGGGTAGGTTACTAACTTTTCGGGGAGGATAGCTACAACTAAAATAGGTACAATTAGATATAGTCTTGATCTTAAAGAACGGCTATCCCAGTAATTACTCCCTACGTGCGCTAATCTTTTTGGATTCCTTGAACTTTGAACTAAGTCAAATTCATGAGCGGAACTTGACCTGTCTTTTATTTAATTTGAACTTATCTCATTAAATGAACCTGACTCAGTTACATCTAGGCTCATCTCAATCAATTTTTTAATTACATTGGACAACTAATAAAGGAGTTACGCGACACTCTGTAGTGACCACCGCCCCCCGTAAAGAAGTCAAAAGCTTCACTCTTTCCCATAATAATTCGGTTTACTTCTCTATTTTTTCAAAAATTATGTTATTCCTCACCATCCATACAACTTAGAAAATTGCCAAAATTGCACAGCTACATAAAATGGAAGATTTTTCCCGATTTCCAAATCCTTCAAAACACATTACCAAAAGAGAAGCACAATTAATCAGTGTTGCCCACACCAAATCAGCCTCCACCACCAACCTATGCCATAAGAACCAAGCAATGGAACAATGAACGAATAAATGGTCAACACTTTCATAGCTATCCTTGCATTGAACACACCAATCAGGGTCTGTGAAATACATTAAACTTGTGAACTTTAAGAATAGATACCGTGAACATTCCCACGCCTGATCAATCCAGATCGAGTTTCAATTGGAAAAGATTTTCTTTTTTTTTTAAAACTAAGAAGGATGAATTGATTCTAAAAATGGAACAAAATTTTTAAAATTTTTATTCAATGCAATTATAACTGAACCTAAAAAACTCTATTGGAATAAACGAAATTAGTAAAAAAATCCCTCGATGGTCATACAAATTAATAACTAATTTGGAACAATAGACAGGAGAAAATCAAGAAAATGTGCCAGTGGATCATCAAATTCGCTCAAGAAAAGCCAAACAGGTAATAATTTTTACTAGTAAAAAGCAAAACGTCCACCAACAAGCTTGATGTGAAGGTTAGCATGCTTAATATTCACCCTATTCATAAGTTCAAAGAATTATTTTTTTTTGAACAGCATAAGCTCAAAGATGACTAGTTTATTCTGCTGTAGAATTCTCAACCAGCTTGCTGGCTGTTGCTGAACAGATTCATCAACTTGCCAAATGGAATGAAGAATATGAAGAACCATGCTGATCGGTCTTTTGATGTAGGTGAACTCGAAAACAATGTAAAATAGTACAAAGATCTCCGAAGATGATCAATGTATGATGATTGGCCTCTTCCAGTTTTTATCCCTCCAAGTAAAAGGATCTTTAAGTAATCAGAGTAAACGCAAAGCTTTGGCCAAAGGAAAAATTAGAATATTTGGTGTCACAAATCACAGAATTGAGGAGCAGTAAGCACAAGATATGTTAATCATGAAATGAAACTCTTTGTGAACACTAGCTTCTCCAAGGCAGTTACCAAACTAACTTCTACTCCTTTTTACAGCATCTTGGCTTATGAAGATGTGCTTGGGAAAGAATAGTGAACATGGGAGCCTGTGCAAAAAAGTGCACACTAGATGCTTTCCGTTTTGTGAAACAATATCAACATAAAAAAATGGATACAATTTTTTGGCTACGCCATCAACCAACAGAGACATGGAGTATGAGACTAAGAAGAATCCTATACTGATCTCGTCAATTGTCCAAATGTAGACATACAGTTTTTTAGCCACTCATTATTTGCAAATCGGAGGTGGAAAAAGTGTGAAGAGCTATTTTAAAATAAGCAGAAAGGCTTGTAGGGAATTGTCAATTGCCATTCTACAGGTTAATCTGATTAAGGAGGACAGAGGAGTATGATTCCATTTCGAGAACCTTTTAATTCTTTTCTGAACACGTTGAGGACCTTAAATCACAGGACTATTTAGGATGGTGAATCATCTTGAGCTTAGCATCTCAACTTAACTGGTGTCATGTACAACAAACCTCATCAGATCGAGCGGTAGTAAGACTAAACTCAAAACCTGCAAGGTCACCAGCGTAATAATTGAGAACAATGCCCACAATGTAAACAAGTGTTCTGAAACTAGCATGCACTCTCATTTCTATTAGGATTATTGTCAAACAGGTTTCGGAGGTTCCCACATTCAACATATAGAAATGGCCATCCACTTGAGGACTTCACCTAACTGTGATTCGTTTACTTGCTTAACAGATTTCCAAACACTTTGAACACTAAATCAGCTGCATATGCAAAACGATTACTCACCAAACTAGACAATAACAGCACATACACATTCCACCAGAACATCAAAAACCCTGTCCAAATCAGAGCATAAAAATCTTAACCCATATTACTCTCCAAATCAGAGTATAAAAAGCTTAACCCATATCATACTCTAAACTAATAAACACAATCCACAACCTTGCGATTGTTGACTCAATTGAGAGAGGCATCATCTGAGATTGGTGGCCCCGGTCTTGGTCGGCTATTTGGCCCCTTGCTTCAAAAACATATGAGGGAGAGGCAGAGAGTGGCTAAGAGGGGATGAGAAGAGGGGTGGAATTCCACAAGTCTCAGTGGTAATCACTAATACCACATTTTATGGGATTAGCTATAGCAAACATAGGAATGTCCATTACCATGTAATGTTCATTCTATTCCTTAGATTTAATACCACGTACCAAACGCAATGTTAAATAGTTGTGTTGGTCATTAATGCTCTATAAATCTTTCAGTTAGCTATTTTCAAGTTTTGCAGTTCAAAAAAAAACTATTTTCAAGTTGCATTTTAGTAAGTCAATATGGCTAATTTTAATCTAATAATTATGCAAGAGAAAATAGATCTTTTGTTTTCCATATAAAATGATGCTCTAGTCTACTTCTGAGTGAAAAATGGATAGAATCACTATGTGGTTTTCGGGTTCAAATTCAAGTCAAGTTGTTTCCATCATCGATGATTTGTCCTGTAAGAACTTTTTATCTCGTAGTGAGTTTCAAGAGTCTTACCCGCCGTGTTAACTCACAATTGTTGAGTGAAAATCGAATTTGATTAGACATGAACTGCTAAATGTGCTTAACAATTAATTTGGTGCTGTGGAAATCTATATGCCACCAATTTTTTTAAATAAATTTAAGTGGAATCCACCGTTTATAAGTAAGTCTCGGTGTCTCGCTCTAATACACAGTGAATGATATAACATTGAGGTAAATTGAGAAAAAATCTAATGGATGAGATCCAACTCCAACGATGATTTCCATCTCATGACTAGGAAGGAAAAAAAACCGATCTTGTAGTCCTATTTACGGCAATGATAATCAACATTTCATTATGTTACCATGATAAGCATCGCCATAAGCAGCAAACATATGAAAATGAACTATCATACGATCAGATCTTAACAGGAACTATTGTTGCCTCATATTCTATACACAGTGTGTCCAGACATTTTCTAGGAACTAATCAAATACAAAAGAATGTCCTCCAAAAAAACCTGATGTGAGAGAGAGAGAGACAGAGAATGTTTATAATCCGTGGTCAAATTGTATTTCATAAATGCCTTCATGAACGTATCAACCCGATACAACTCCATTCACAGAGCAGCTGTCTCATTTTGGATTTCAATGGTGTTGTATTTGACTGAGAAACTAATTCATATACTCCCATATTCATGCACTAGTCGTCACGAAATGAAAATAAATTTGCAAGTTAATGCTAAAGATATTTAAGAAAAAAAATTAAAGCAAAAGTACAGCATTTTCAATGTTTTGTTTACAACAATACAGAAACGTAGTTTATAGCATGAATAGGCAAAACAGTTCAGCATACAAAATCAATGGTATTAATAGAACATGACAGTCAAACCTGAAGTATGGCAGAGTGGCCTTGAAGCCAAGTTCAAAAGCAACCAGAAACGTTGCATCCAGAAAAGTTTGAAGCAACGGTAGAAGAAAGCTTCAAACAACTTTGATTATCCATCATATCCGATCAGTAAGGTACCTCGCAAAAGCATTGATTGGCTTAGTGAGGTCAGCATTTCCATCTCCGCCACACCTAATTTTGATCCGAGCAAGGTAATCAACTGCTATCCAAGCAAAGCTCAACATTACTGTCTCCACATCCCCATCTGGCTCTTGCAACTCCATTGACTTCTTCACCCAACAAGAATGATAAGTGACTTGATACCATGCTGATGCCTTTTGTTCATAAATGGCATTCTTCTCGTCATCAGAAAGTTGTTCGAAATCTGAGTCCATTTTCTCAAAAACTTTCCTGAACTCTTTCCTGAGGGCACTGTAAGCATGTTTGAGTCTCTCTTTCAGCTGCCCTTGCTTGTTGCTACTATACTTTGGCAGGGACCAAATGTGCCCAGTCACAATCTCTTCCTCTCTGCGCACTTTATACAGTCCCAGAAGTCCATTTAGCCGCCCATCATAAGAGCACTTATGGCTCCACGCATCAGTAATGAAATTTGTGGATCCGGGGATATGAAGGTCTGCATCATAAAGAATGTCTTGAGGAACAAATTTTAGCTCAGAAGCTACCACATCTTTGTCATTAGCATCTATGACTTGGCGGAATAGCTTGCCCAAAATTTTTTCCGACTTGTATGACTGAAAGTCCTCTTTTCCCATAAAGTCAGGATACACTTTCGGTTTGAGTTCAAATGGCAAGGAGACAATCTTCCCTGTTTTTGGGAAATCCACGGCTGTGGCAGCAAGCTCTGCCAATGTAATACATTTCTTGTCCAACGCTCCATCTTCACTGAGGTCAGCATGAACCACATGGGCATTGCAGATTGTACCCAGGTTCTCATTGACAATGTTTTTGGTGAAAAAATCTATTATATCCTGTAAAATTAAACAAATAGAATGTGTCTTATCAGGAAAATCTAACATAATAACAAGCCATTTTTTTTTGGGGGTGGGGGTGGGGGGGGAAAGAGAGGAAGGAAGACTTGAACCCTTCACCTCAAGAAAACAAAGTCTTTACAAGGTAAAGAGTACCATTGGACCAAAGTCCATTGGTATATAACACGCCATTGAAGAGTTACTCACCGGGCAAGATGGGATTCCAAACAGGATATCACTAATAAGAAAACTGCAGCCTAAATTTAGCTCTGAATTTTTGGCAATCATATAAAATGTCAAATAAGTTTTTTATTTTGCTGTTCTGCCTCATGAACCAATTTAATGAAACGATGGGGTCTGTCAAAGTAACCGGTGGATACATTCTTTTATCTCTTCCCATTACCATACTCATTGACGGAACTGTATAAGGTTTCTTTAGTAGCTCTAGAGGTCTTGGATGAGGGAGCCTCTTTCACCACCCCTTTTATTTTTGTGATGGAGAATTTGTTCGCCCAAATGGTCGGGGTTGTTCTATCTCAGAAGGAGGATGTTTAGAATGGCATGTTTAGTGGGTATGAATTCTGGAAAGCCTGCGAGGGTACCATCTTGTGGTATTTGCTCTTGGTTGATGACACTATTCATGAGATTGGAGTTTGCTACTTTGATGTGAGATACGTTCCAGTTGGGAGGATAATTTGGTAAAGAGAGAGCTAACTCCAATTAAGTACAGGGAGAACATTGATTCATTGACTGTTGTCCTGCTGTGTTAAGGGGAACTCCCGACTACCCAATGGGAATCATCTCAGCTCTTCATGCACAGCAACTTTGTTGTTGGATTTGATGCTAGAGAGATTTTAAAGGAGGCTTGCAGGATGGAAAAGACTGTTTCTTTTCAGAGGGGGATGCTTCGCTCTAATTAAAAGCACTCTTTCTAGCCTTGCGACTTCTTATATGTTGCTTTGCCTAATGCTGGCTTCAATTGTAATAAGGTTAAACATGCTTCAACGAGATTTCTTGTGGAGCTGCATTTAAATACCATTTGGGCATGTGGAAGGCAAATTGCTCCTCTTTCAAAAGAAGAGTTGGGTATTAAAAGATTTGATAATTTAATCTGGATAGTGGGCTTATTTGGTGTGTCATATGGTTGTGACAATTTTTTTCGATACATGGTGCAGTGGAGTAGACTTAGGCATCGTATGGTGGTGGTTCACTTTGTAACTCTTATTCGGATGGCTTTCATTATTAGATGAGTTATATACAATTATGCATCATTATACACAGAATAGATTAATATTTATAATTTATTGTATAATTCTATACGTGCTCCAAAACAATATAAACAATGTACATAATAAATGCTAGTGGATGCATATATGTATTACAGGAAGCAAAAAAATTCAAATCATAACAAATCAAAATATAAATTTAAAGATCATCAAAATAACAAATAAAGTACCAAATGGATTATAATTTTTAGATACACTTATAATTTGTAGTTATTTGTATTGTGTGTTGATTTCGAATAAGAGTTACAATTTGGAATCGATGTCTAAAAAATCTGGATCACAAACCCATTTTGGGTTGTGCGACCCTAGTTTCTGGGATGCTTGTGGCACCTACAATCCCGATATCTATGCTTAACCAAGCACTTTTTGGAAATGGTTATATTTTGGGGAGGAGAGCCTAATTATAAAAATTAATTGTTGACTAAAAATATAGAGTTTGTCTACCACGATAAGGGTGCAATATAGGGTTGGGCTATGGAAAAATAATAGAAAAGTATAAGATAAGTTCTTTAAATATGATAGGTTTGTGATAAGGTCATGGCATAGGGTAAAATTTTGGAATGATCCACGTTATGGTAGAGAACCAATGCCACGTTTCCAAATCTATTCACAAATAGCTATTGTTGACCGATAATGGTAGTATGTCTCACCAAGGTGTGGCAAGGGAGTCTTGCATCCTCAGATATTCTTTTTACTAAGAGTTGGAAGAAGTTGATGATTCATAGCAGTGCTTTATGAGGTTCAGGTTCTACCGGGGGTGGGGGATTCATAGAAGTTGGAACCTATTAGAGTAATCTAGAACATTAGTATTAGGAGTAGTTTAGTTATTTATGTTACTATGTTTTGCCCTAATATATAAGACTATTATTGTGTAGTTTTCTATTTTAAAGTTTTGTATTATAGACTCGATTTATCTTAGTGAGAATCTCCCTCACTCTTCTTTCCTCTTTCTTTGATAAATATTAACATAGTATCAGAGCGGGTTTGGATCCAAAATACATCCAATATCATATCATTACACTGGTAAAAATAGCTGGCGAAGACTAGGCAGGCGCTAGGGATGACATTAGTATTCTGGACTAGTGAGAGGCTCGCAGACTCAAATTTTCATGGAAATCTCATGGCTTGGCCTTCAGATTTGCTAGGTTTGAATTTGCTATTGGCCTGTGAGATTCAATCTGGTTTGATGCAGTGTTATAAAAAGCTCGCCTAGGCGAGAAACGCAAAAAGGCGGCGTTGTCTCGCCTTGACCAACCAAGGCGAAGCGAACATGAGAAAAGCAATTAAAAAGCAAGCACCTCTCACTTAAGCGTAAGACGAGAAAAGCGAGCACCTTAGTTAAGTTTTTAAAGTAGCTTTATTTTTTAATTATGGACCGTTGGATAGTTTTTTTTTTTTTTCTCTATTATGGACAGTTGAATTGGGGCAATTTGAACAAAATTATGAAATTCCCATACACCCAATTGCCCCCGTATCCCAATATATACAACAACCAAACCCTAATTTTGCCTAAAAAGTCAGACGATTACTACTGTTACTCCTTCCTCGCTAGTCTACACTCCATAGGTTTGTCTCCTTCACTTTTTCTTTTTTCTCTTCTTTTAATTCTTCTTCTAGCTCCACAACTTTGTAGTTGTTGCTCCGTCTTCTTCTTTGATAGAAAAAACACCACACACAGGTATTGCTATTCTCTCCTCCTCCCCCTATTCTCTTCTTCTTCTACTTTTTTAATTCTTATTTTTCTTCTTATTCGATAGAAAAAATAGTACCTGTTACTTCTCCTGCTTTTTCTACTGCTGCTTCTCCTGCTTCTACTTCTACTTCTACTTCTACAACAGAGGCACATTTTCTTCTCTCCTCTCCTCTCCTCACCTCTTCTTTTGCCGATTCTTCTTCTTTCAATTATGCATCCTCTTTCTTTCTTCTCCTTTTTTGCTTTTGGTTCTAGTTCTTCTGTGTTTCTTCTTCTTCTTCTTCTTCTTCTTCTTCTTCTGCTTTTCTTTTTCTGCTTCAAGTTCTGTTTCTCTGTTTCTGTTTCTCTTCTTCTTCTTCGGATTCTAATTTTGCTTTTGTTTCTCTCTATTTGATGCTGATTTTCTGTAAATTCTTATTTTGCTAATTTTGCTCTTTTTTTTTCTAATTCTGCTGATTTTCTGTAATATTTTTGCTTATTTTCTATACTACTTATTTTTATTATTATGTATTGCTTATTCTGCTGATTTTGTATAGCTTATTTCTGTTGATTCTAATTTTTTGTAATACTGATTTTGCTGATAATAGTGTTGATTTTGCTGATGGTAGTACTGATTTTCTGTAATGTTGAATGCTATTTTTTTGTAATGCTGAATACTGATTTTCTGTAATCCTGATTTTTCTGGAATATATTTGAACTTTATGATTTTTCTGTAATGCATTTGAACTTGAGTTTAAATGTTTATGATTTTGTTTGTATTTAAATATTTAGTATTTATAAAATTAAAATATAGATATTTAGAAATAATTAAACTAAAATATTTATTTTTTTTATTAACTATTCGCTTCGTTTTGGTGAAGCATTTCGCTTCGTTTCTCGCCTAAGCTTTAGGAGTCTTGATTGCTTTGGTTCGCTTTACGCCTTAAATAACACTGGTTTGATGAACTTGGGATTTCGATGTAGTTTGTTTAGCTTCTCTATTTGGGAATATGGCATGTGGTAATTCTAATTCTCTTTAGGCCATTATTGTAAGGTTGAATGGGGACTATACCTATTTGACATATGTTATGAAAAACTTTTTGATGGGCAAACAAATGTGAAGTTACATTAATGGAGTTATGCAAGCTCCTACAGATACTGAGGCAGAAAAGTATGCGAATTTGAAGATCAAATGGGACATCAACAATACTAAAATCATCACCTGGATTAACAATTTAGTTGACCAGACTATTGGTATTCACCTGGCTAAGTTTACCATAGCCAAGAAAATTTGAGATTATTTGGCAACGTTGTTTGTTCAATCCAACTTTGCAAAATGATATCGACTCGAGCATGAAATTTGTGTTGTCAGTCAAGATGATAAAAATATACAAGAATTCTATTCAGTTATAACTAGTTATTGGGATTAGCTGTTACTCACGGAGCCAGTTGAATTGAGTACAAATACGGCATATTGTACTTTAAGAGGAACAGAGGTTGGTGCAATTTTTTACGATATTGGGAGATGATTTTGAGAGGCGTCGTAGTTCCATTCTCCATCACAACCCCTTTCCCTTAATTGATGCAATGGTAAATAAGTTCTTAGCTGAGGAGGTGCGTCTTTAAACCCTTTCGAGAAAGGGGCTTCTATCATTGCCAACTTAGACCTGGACCTTCCGACACTGGGTAGGCATTAGCCCCCATACATGGTCTTACTATTAGTTGTTTCTCCAAAAGGAACTTTTAATTCACAAAATAAGAACTGAGTACCGTACTATGGCATCTACCATAGTAGAGATAGTTTGGCTGCGTTGGTTGTTTGCTGACCTTGGCATTGCCTTATCTACTCCTACTCTTACATATTGTAATAACACTAATGATATTCAAATTGCTTACAACTCGATGTTTCATGAGCTTACAAAACATATTAAGATTGATTGTCACTTTGTGCGCCGTCAAACTGGCACGATCTCTCTTCCCTTCCTTTCTTCTACTATATTGTTGGCAGATTTCTTTACAAAATCTCACACAATTGTGTGCTTCCATTTCCATCTTGGCAAACTCCTGGTGTTTGTGCTATCACATCCTGAGTTTGAGGGGAGATATTAGAGTAATCTAGTACATTAGTATAAGGAATAGTTTAATCATTCATGTTACTATATTTTGCCCAACTATATAAGATTGTTATTGTGTAGTTTTCTATTTAACATTTTGTAATACAAACTTGGTTTATCTTAATGAGAATCTCTTTCTCTCTTTCTCTTCTTTCCTCTTTCTTTGAAAAATATTAACAAAATAGTAACATTGGTGTTACATGAGTAAAGAAAGGAGTTCGTAAATCTTCATCTTTTGATTGTGTGATTGCTAAAGATTTATTGGTGAAGATATTTGCATTTTGTTTCTTCATCCAAAAAAGTTATAGGTGATCGTCTTTACACTATTTGGCCTGTCTTGAGAGATGTCCAAATCGGTTACAGAGTTAGGGTCCTATCGTGGCAGAAGAAGAGGATTAGAGATGGGGGTGATGAAGCTGCCTTGTCTTTGGTGCATATGGCTAGCGCAAACTCAGGGTCCCTTTGACGATGAAGAGACCCTTATAAAACTTAATGTAAGCTTTTTGAGACTTTTGTATTCTTTCACAGGAAAGGTTATATTTGATTTGGATAGCTCATTCGACTTTTGTGTTACTTGTGTGTATACTTACTGTGTCCAAGAATTGCACCCCCTTCATGCCTTTAGTGGTACTTATTTACCAGAAAAGAGAGAGCTTAACCCAATCACATCAACATGCTTGGCACTTACATTAATCAGTCAAACAATACGGACCAAAATAAAAGCCGTCAACTGTGTGTCTTGCAAGTATATAGAAATAGTAGTTCCAGAAACTAATATTACAAAGTTGTCTTATTTGTCCTAACAGATATATGGCAAACAATGCTATTTAAATATCATATGAACTACTTACCAGAAAAAAGGAGAGAAAAGAAAAAATATCAATGAACTTGACTCTAAGTGTCTTTAAGCTAGCGTTTGATAACTAGTTGTTTTTGTTTTTTTTTTGTTTTTGTTTTTATTTTTTGTTAAAAAAAAATAATGTGTTTGGGATGCGTTTTTATTTTTTTTTAAGCTATATTGTTTTGCAAACAAGGTCCAAAACTATAAACACCAAAACTGATGTTTCCGAAAACATCCAAAATTGAAAACATGCGCGTGCATCCCATTATCAATTAATGAGGTCCAGCCTTCGAATCTCGTTAGCAACAAAATGAAATTTTTTTTGTAGCAACTATAAAACCCCATTTCCTCCTTTTCTTTTTTTCCAGTCTATTGCCCTCAATAGTCTCTCTCTATCGCTTGTCTCTCTCTCTCTCGATGCCTCTCCTCTGAAACCCATTGCAACGAAGACGAAGAGGTGCCTCTTTCTGACACCCACTATCACAAAGACAAAGACGAAATCAAACATGAAGAAAAAGACGAAATCAAACACAAAGACAAAAATTATACATAGATCTATAAATAGACATAGATCTACATATATGTTGTTATATATTCATAGATTTACAAGTGCGTGTGTTTATTTGTGCTTGTGTGTGTGTTTGTGTGCTGTATATATGGATCTGCATATATGTATGAGTGTTCGTATCTGTGACTGTGTGTATTTTGTGTATGTCTGTGTGTATTTTGTGGAAGTATGTTTGTGTAATTGCGTTTATATATGAGTATATATTTGTGTGTCCTAGCAAAATCACCTCGTGTGTGTGTGCGCGCAAGATCATCTCGTCTGTGTGTGTGTGTGTCCCAGCAAGAATGTCTCCAATTAGGACATTTATTTGGAATTAAAATATTGATCAAAATAACAACAATAAAATATTATCCAAAATATATAATATCAAACATGTTTTTAATTTTTGTTTTTATAATTTTTTAAATATAAATCACTACCAAACATATTTTATATTTTTAATTTTTATCACAGAAAATAAAAACTAGTTCTATTTTTTTTATAAAAAAAAAACTTAAAAACGAAAACTTTACCAAGCACACCCCAAGTAAATCAAACACATTGATACACAATACAACTACATTGTCCAATTCCATTTAGAAACTATCTGAAGCAATTGACTCGAATATGTCGAGAGGTTTTTTTGCTCTTATTTTCATCTTCTTCCCAGGAAAAAACAACATTCACTTGAGGTGGGCAACTAATTAACAAGTAAACTTACCAGAAGACTAAATTTCAGTAGTTAAAGAGATGAAATATCCAGTAACTAAGCTGTAAAAAGAAGGCAGATAAGAACAATTGAACTATGAAAATGATTCCAAAGCCAACATAAGAATGCATGCAGAGGATGAAATTTAAAAATGACAAAATTACCGAGTGTTTGACTGGACGAGGCAATTCCTTCGCTTCTGCAGACGCATACTCCATCGGCCGCAAGCTTCTCTTACTAGGTGGAATAAGGTTTTCATCCCATGTGACAAAGTAGAGATCCCCATCAAGGTCACTTCCCGATGCTTCATTTGTATGTGGTCTATCTCCCTTTTGAGGGAATACCAGACAATCAAAAAGATGTTGCAACCCGGGAGCATCTACTGCTTCCAAAATTCGCACATCTCCCGGGTGAAGACATGGGTTCTTTGCTATTACCACAAAACCCTTAATTACTTGCAAACTTTTCTTTGTTTCAGAAAACCTGGAGCCATGCTTCGCAAAGCAATTTTCTGGTGAAGGGTTTGACACTTGGATAAAGCACTGCCCTTGTTCAAGAACCCCCAGCTCATCTAAGCAGCCCAGCAACCACCTCCCTGAAGGAACAAAGATCCTAGCCTTTTCCCTGAGGTCTCCAAGCTGTGCAGCTCTTATACTAGTTAGCATGCCCTGTAAATGAGGTTCGCTTTGAGGTCTGAAACCAGCACTCAACATTATTGCTGCTGTATTTCCTTGCTCAGCACATGAAGCAATTAGAATATCAAAAGCCAAATCTGCATCTACAAGCATTTCGTTGAGTTTAGAGACCATGGAGTTCTGCATTCTCCAAAATATTTCATCCTGAACACCCAAAGCAGAGAGTAACGTCACTATCTGTCTGTTCAAAAATCCTGGCTGGAAACGAGTCCAAGAGCATATCTCAAGGATCGTGTGATTGGATTCAAACTTTCTCATGCTTCGTCTTAAGGCAAGCCGGATCCCATCACTTATTTCTGGCCAACAGGCAACGACACCTTTGCAACCTGCATATCTGATCTGGTAAGCACAGGGTGCATTCACTTTTAACTGCAATTTCTCTGCAACTTCCACCGCAAGATCAGCCGACATCATACCAATCCCATCAGAGAAAACATAACCATTTCTCTCGATATCTGGAAGCTTCCAGTCAACCTTGCTTGATGGAACTTCGACTGTGGCATAAGTAGATGAGAAGCACTGCCCCATCCTAGCAGCACACTTCGCAATATTTCTGTTTGTAAACTTCCCCATCCAATTTTTTATGCCAAGCACAGTAATCTTTTGGTCTTCAGCAAAAAACCAGGCAGAACGGTCCCTTAATTGATTCGCTGAGAATGCCAGGAAGGAGTATTTTCGACCACATAAATAAAAACCTTCACTTAGAATACTCTTCACTCTTTTGAACATTGTAGTTTTCTGGGAGTTATAATTTGAAGTGATCTCCCTCAGGATAGGAGCAGGATAATAGTCAATTGCATTCTTATTAAGTCTCTGCATGCCTTCATCCATGAAGGTAACCCTTAAAAATCGATCGGCAACTTCCCTGTACTTCCTAAGAACCCTGTTTGAAAGTTCAACTTCTGGTGGAAGACAGTAGGCTTTGGTTGGGGTTATAACCAACCTCCTAACTTCAGCAACATCATTCAACTCTCTAGGTCTCTCAAGAAGTTTAGGATTTTTCAGCAACCACTCCTGAACAAGTTTCAGCCTCTTACAAGTATCATACAACGGGCGTTTATAAGAACAGATGTGCTTTAATGCAGCTACATTGACCTCGTCTCTTTGGCTTCTCAGTAAATGAAAAAAACTGTCTGACAACTGGTGCTGGTTTATTATGCCTTTGTGCATGACTGCATTCACCAAAAACAAGATATTAAAGGATACACCTTCTTTGTATTGAATACAAAAGAAAGGATCTGACAAGGGTATCCCAAAATCAGGTTCATCCCGTATCCTAAGCTGCTGTCTAGGGCGGTCATTTGATACCTGCACCCTCCGCTCCCTAAGATAATCCATGGCCTTATTCAGCGTTGGACCATTGCGAGGTGGGATTGAAATTCGATAAGTATTACACCTGCCAATGGCCCCACTAGAAGTAAAATCTGTAGTTCGGATCCATGGATCATCATCGTCCAACAAATCAAACGGAACTGATTCTATAATATCATCATCTGCCGTTCTATAGTAAACCAAAGGAGATGAAGCCAGCTGCAACAAAATTATTAAGGATGACGTATCTTTATATTGTTTGATCTCATTAATGTCTCTCACCAAGAACTCAATCTTAAAATTGCACTTTATGACTGCGTGCATGGCAGAACCTTTGAAGGAGAAAGCAATTTCATTCGTGAAAAGGAATTTGCATCTCCCATCAAAAGGATCCACAAGAAAATCAACCCCAGTAGCAGGACCTCTCCAACCAGCAAAGAACTCATCTCGGCTAACTAAGAGTCCAATCTCGACACACACGTTAGATAACTTGAAGGGGTTTGTAGTCCTCCTCCTCTGATTCATGTGATATGGAGTCTCAGGCCCCAGACTAACTTTCAGAGGGTTCTTTACAAATATAAGCTCACCACGCCCTGCAGCATCCAGAGCTAAACTTGATGAGAGGGGGCTGACAAAATGCACAAATGCGTGAGGCTCCACCTTTTCGTAAACATTTGTTCTCGGGAAATTTGTGGTGTTGATCTCAAAGTTTGGGTAAGAATCAGGAGGGGTTGAAGAAGTCTTCAATCTACATCTCCAAACAAGTCCAACATCTTCTTCCAAGTAATCAAAAAGCATTTTTGCAGTAACATAGTTTTCAAAACCACCAACACTAACTTGACTAACCACCATTTTCCTTTCACTTCCCTCTGACCCCATTCTTCTCCTCTCAAATTTGAGTGTCAATTCCCAAATGCAGTTAAATTCACTTCTTTTTGTAGTCTCCAATTCCACCTAACACAAAAAAGAAACATTTGTGAATGAAACACACACAACCCAACACCATTATCGTAACTTTCTTCTTCCAGTCAAGTAAAAGCAGTGTTATACTTCAACTTAAGACGCTAACAAAGTTTTGGGAGACCAGATCATATTCGAACATGGGACCCAAAATAGGATTGTATCTTTCCCTCCTGAAGGTTAAAGTATTATATAGGACAAGTATGATAATATTTTATCCAACAAAGTGATCACCTTATACTAAGCACCCAATTGTGAATCCACTTTGTTGTTAACATTTGAACTACTCCGCCCCTCAAGACTCTGAAAAATTCAGTTCATCCTCTGAAATTTGGAAAATTAAGCTTGTATACTTTGGGGTCTTACAAATAAATAAGGTTGACAGTCAGTTGACTTATAATAATAATAAATTTTGGATGGGAAGAGACTGAAGATATGAAATGGGAGAAAAATAGAACAAACATAGTCAGGTTGTTCGACGTATAAAGCCTATACCTACCGATATAATGCCCACAACAGCTTTCTCTTTATTAGTACTTGAATTACACTCCTGTGTTACTAATCATTTTTGTATGAGTTTGATTGTAAAACATTGCCCAGGTTTGATGAGAATGCTTGAATGGATAATGTGTTGCATTCATTGAAGGAGGAAATGTACATGAGATAAATGCTCAATTGAATAACATAAGATGAGAAGAATTGAATAGAACTCGCATAAGAAGCTTAAGCACCAACCTCGTCGGTTTGATCGTCATAATTGGAGAACGTAAAAAGGTATATAATCCTTGTTCAAGTTAGGAAGATAATTATGTGACTTGAGAAGAAGAGTTGAAGAAATAGGGCAGAGGAGTGGAAGAAATAAGTCAAGGAGAAAAAATGATTATATCAGTCAATTTGACATAACCTCAGAAATGTGGACATAACTTTTTACCCAAATGTCAAATTGACTTTATTCTTGTGGGGTTGGAAAGAAGACTTCAAAGGTCTACAAACTTGTGTGCAAAAGAGATTTTCAGATTCAAATGTCTTCGAGGTGAACGACGACACGGAAGTGAATGTAGTGCATATATGGTAACTGTGAAAGAAGATAATAGAACGCGAATATCAATTGTATATTACTTGGGTGTGATCTATAATGTACATGAGGAAGTATATTTATAGTACAAGAGAGTAATGAGATTTTCTAGTTTAATCGATGTGGGACAAACATATTATCATTATATACATTAACATTCCCCTTAAACTCAAGGAGATAAAATAGAAATCAACTTGATTTTGGAAACCAATCATGAAATCGGCTCGGCGGATATGCCTTAGTGAAGATGTCAACAGTGTGGCCAAACGAACAGGGAGAAGATGAACTGTGCCTCAAGCCACATGTTGCACAAAATGACAATCAATCTCAATATGCTTTGTGTGATTATGAAAAACTTCATTGTGACCAATTTGTATTTCACTCTGATTGTTACAGTAAAGCATAGTAACACCAGAATGAAAGACACCTAAATCTTCTAAGAGCCAAGAAAGCCAAAAAAAAAAGCTCCTAGACAGTATCAGCAAGAGCACGATACTCTGTCTCTGTACCTTTTCATCTCTTGGCGTAGTAAGAAACAGTTTGTCATCCCCAAAAAGAAACAGTAACCAATGATAGAACGACGATCAGTAGGGTCTCCTGTCCAGTCAGCATCAAAATAGGCGCATAACTCAAGAAATGAGTGAGTAGAGTAATAAAGGTCATGAAACATAATACCCTTAATATATCGTAGAATATGAAGAACATGAGCATAATGAGTAGAGCGAGGGGCAGTTAAAAATTGACCGATGAGATGAACAGTATAGGCTATATTCGGGTGAGTAATGGTGAGATACACAAGACTACGTACCAATTAGCAGTAAAGAATGGCATCAAAGAGAGGTGTGTCATCCAAGGAATAAGTCTTAACTCTTGTCCTTTCCTAAATAAAATGGTGAGCATATTCATACCAACCGCCAACAAAGCACAAGAGTTAAGAGTACAAGATTGTATGTATTAGTACTAGGATAAATGTTAGTTAAAATATGGAGTAATGAAGTAATTATGGTTAGGAAGAGAATAAGATTAAGGAGAAGGACTAAAAGAAGAATGTATCGTGTTAGGGTTATACAACTACATCCCATTATATATATAACCACAGATTACCAAAATACCCTTAAACTAGAAATATATAATATAACACTCCCCCTTCAAGTTGATGCATAAATATCTCTCATGCCCAACTTGCAAACAATTGGATAAAAAAACTTGCTAGTAAGCCCTTTTGTGAAAATATCAGCCAACTGATCTTCTAATTTCAAAAAGAGCATGCAAATCAAACCCTTATTCAGCTACTTTGATAAAGTGTCAATCAATTTTGACATGTTGTATTATATCATGTTGAACTGTATTGTGTGCTATCATATTGAATTATATTGTGTGCAATGTCAATAACCGCCTTATTATCATAGTACAATATCATAGGCCTATAATCGCGAACTCTAAGATCCCCCAATAAAATTTAGAGCCATATTATCTCACAAACACCAAGGGTTGTTGCTTTATATTCGGCCTCTACACCTAACCTTGCTACCTTTACTTGCTTTCTAATCCATCATGTGACAATGTTTTCTCTCATCAAGTTACAATAACCCGAAGTGGATCTTCTATCAATCTTCATCAGTGAAGGCTTCAAGTGTTAAGTTTCTATTATTGGAGCACAAGATCCCTTTCCCTGGAACTAACTTGAAATACCTCAAAATGTAATAAACAGCTTCAAGATGAGGTGTTCGAAAATTATGCAAAAATTTACTTGCAATCCCCAACTGCATAAACAATATCTGGTCAAATATGATAGAGATATCAACCTACCTACTAATCTCTGGTATCTCTCCTTATCCACAATGTCACCAACACCACTACCTAATCGATGGTTGACTTCGATCGGAGAATATGTAAGTATGCATCCTAATATACCTTATTTCTTCGAGTAGATCAACAACATACTTTTTGTGGGAGATAAAAATTTCTTTATCTAATCTGACAACTTCAATCTCAAGAAAGTATCTCAATGAACCCAAGTTTTTGATTTCAAACTCTTTAGCAAGCTAAGCTTTCAGTTTGATGATTTCATATCCATCATTCCCAATTCTCACTATATCATCCATGTAGATAATGATAACCATTATCTTGTCTCTAATGAACTTCGTATGATCAGTATGACTCTATCTATATCTGAATTTTAATATGAATTTGAGACCTCTGTCAAACCAATCTCAGGTTTCAAACTATAAAATGACTTCTTCAACTTGCACACCTTCTCTTTAAACACCTAAGATGAAAAATCGGGTGGAATCTCCATTATATACTTCTTCCTCTGAGTCTCCATGGAGAAAAGCATTATTCAAATCCAACTGTTGGAGGCTCCACCCTAAATTAGCTCCACAAGAGAGAAGAGCACATATGGAGTTCATCTCTATTAAAAGGACAAAGGTCTCCTAATAATCAATTACATATGTCTGAGTGAATCCTCTCGTAACCAATCTTACTTTGTATCTCTCAACTATCAAATCACCATGTTGCTTAATAGTGAATACTCATTTACATCCAACCACCCTTGCTCCAACAAGAAATAGAACTAATTCTCAAGTGTCAATCTTTTTCAAGGCTCTCATTTCTTTAACTAAAGTTTCTCTTCACTTTGAATCAATGAGAGCTTTTGTCCAACATTTAAGAAAAGCTATAGATGACAAGCAAAAATCAAAGGTACGATATTACAAAGACAATGAATCATAAGAGATAACATTAGAGATGGGGAGTTTATTATAAGCTCGAACACCCTTTCTAACTACAATAGGAAACTCAGAATATTATTGATTATCAATTACAGAAGTGACAATTGAAAGTTCATTACTTGGTAAATCAACAGGACATGCTAGAACTAGAGTGGGGGAATTCAACTGACCCGGTGGCACATAGGTCGTCTGTACCTTCTAATGCCGAGAATAAGTCTTCAAAGTACTAGGTGGATCATTAGTACCAACAACCTGTTGCTCCCCATACTAGCATCCCACTAGAGAGACAACTAAAGAAGAGGCTCCTGGAATACCATATGTTCCTCAATAGTGGTATTCTCCCCCTAAAAAGATGGTCGATAAGAAGAAAAAAATGAATCGGACCCGGGAAAGGTAACATTTGTGTTAACATACATTTTCTAAGACTATGAATGTTAACACTTATACTCTTTTTGAGTGGCAGAATAACCAAGAAAAACACACCGCAAAGCCTTAGGATCAAGTTCCCCCCCGAACGATCTATAGTCATGTACAAAATAAACATACTCAAAAGCTTTGGGAGGAAGGGAAGAAACATAAGGAACTAAAAGAATTACAAAAAAACACTTAATAGGTGACTTAAACTGAAGAACACTCGAAGTTAAATGTTTAATAATATATGCAACCGTACGAATTGTATCTCCCCATAAATTTTGAAGAACATTCATGGTAAACATAACAGGACAAGTAACCTCAAAAAGATGGCAATTTTTTCTCTCGAAAATATTATTTTGTTCTAGAGTACTCAAGCAGGTGGTTTGAAAAAAAAATGTCATTTTCATTAAGGTAAGAGTGAAATTCTCCATCAATGTACTCAATCCATATCACTTCGAAAAATTTGATATTGGCATCAAACTAGGTATCCACTATTTTATGAAAAGATCATAAATAAGAGAGAACTTCACCTATAGTGTGTAGTAAATAAACCTAAGTAAGATGAGCATAACAATCAAAAAAAATAACAAACTAATAATAACCAGAGAGAAATGCAATGCTGAAAAGTCCCACACATCAGAATGAGTAATAATAAAAGGAGCAGTGTTTTTATTAGTAAAAGAATGAGATGAACATTT